TAGCTTGTTAACACAAGACACCCTACCAGACTCCACACACACACACACACACACACACACACACATGCACATGTAGGGTAAACATATCCTTATGGGGACCGCTCATTCATTTCAATGGGAAAAATGCTAACGCTAACTATGACAACCTTAACCCCTACCCTGCCCTAACCATAACCATAAGTAACCTAACAAAATACAAGAGTTTTTGCATTTTTAGTTTTTTCATAGCAGTCAACGATTTTTATAAAATAGAGTTTTCCCTTATGGGGACCAGGAAACCAGTCCCCATAATGGAAAAAAAAACCGGATATTTATCACGTTATGGGGACATTGTGTCCCCATAAGGATAGGTAAACCCGCTCGCACACACATACACACACACACACACACACACACACACACAACAAGTCCAGATTACCATGATACTGACCATAACTAGAGATTGGATGGATGGATGGATGGATTATTATCTTTAGCAATAGATTCACAATAAAATAATTCTAAAGATTTTTACTGCACTGATATTAAGACAAAATTTGTCAAAATATTGTCTCAGACTCCATGACTGTATATTTGTTTCTTAATATTTGTTTAAGCCACTTTGAAGATTAGACCAAAACATTTCCAATTCTGAATTTTTTTTTTTTAATCAGACAGGACACCCATGCTCTGTTCCTCAATAGACCTCTAACATAATGATTGTCGGGGGGGTTTGTGTTCCACATTTCATTGGAGATGTCATATAAGATTAACTTGCTTTTCTCTCTAACTCTCCTTTCCTCTTTCATAGTAAAAATCTGCCGCCCCCGCCCCTCTTTGGGGTGTGTGCGTCCTCATCCATCATATCCCATATGCCTTAACCTTCTATGCCCCCCCCCCCGCCACCCCCTTCACCAGGAAAAAAAGGCAGATTCAGATGCCATAAAGACAACTGTGAGCTGCAGTTTCCAGCTGATTCTGATGGGCGACAGTAGATCCATCACTGTCGGTCGCTGGAAAAAGGGGCTGATGGCATATTTAAGACTGACTGTCATAGCCTGATCCTCTGTTTGTACCTAGAGTAAAGGACAGCCTTGCTTCTGCATATCATGCTTTTTTAAAAACAGAATGGTTAGATCTTCGAAGGACTAAATCAATTAACTGTTCAGTGTAATTGTGTATTAGTTATATATTTATAAGGAAATTCCTTTGCATGACAAACTTACTGTGGACAGAATTAACACACTGTATTTTTTACTTGTACCATTTTATGTCAACTTTGCTTAAACGGATCCTTAAATGATAAAAATACGTAATTTCCTTAATTATACTAACAAAAAAATTCTATTATTTCTGAATTTCATTGTCTTATATTACTATTTAAAAAAATCTAAACAATATTCATTTTTTGCACCTGTTTTGTTGCCTGGATGACTGATTAAACTTTAATGCTTTTATTCTCTTGAGGGATCTAAACAGTTTGAGGCAACTGAGCAGAAAATGTATCTTTTCCACCACGTGCTGATAGATTACAGGTGGACCTTTATGTGACTTTGTGTCAAGCTACTGTATTTGTTGTTTTGGTTTTTGCTTGTTTTGTTGTTTTGACTTCCCAGTCAATTACTGTCTGTAAATTTGTCTGTCTGTCTGTCTGTCTGTCTGTAAGTCACATGCTCTTTCTTTGCTTGTGTGTGTGTCCCAATATACACGTATTGAAATCAGACAATAGATCCGACAATATTATTTTTGGCTGTTTTATTTCTGTTAAAATAACATCATGTTTAAGCCAATTTTAGTACACTGTATTAATTTTTTGCTAAAAATGGGCATATATTGTCCATGCTATACAATGTATATGAAAGCGAGCTTTATGTAAGGCATTCTCATGCTAGACAAACCGGCGGCTCAGTCTCTCAGTGTCAGTAAGCCGGCGTCAAACCGCACGCCACCCCGGCAGCGCGTATGTATACATCTCGTGCGTTAAATAGCCGCGGTGACAGAGAGCGGATCATCAATGGCCTTTGAAGGAGCACCCGCTGGGTCACCCCTCCCCAGCCTGCATGGGACCAAATGCTCTGTCTCTCAGGCAAACGCTCCCAGAGGATGCTGGGAGGCACAATGGCCAGCCTTCAGCGATTGGTTCCACCTTATTAACAGCTTGTAATCTTCTCATCTCCTTGTAGGGGTCTGGCTGCCACACTCTCCATGGCCGAATTAGGAGCTGAAGGGACAAAATACTGCCTGCGTGACTCACTTTTGATGCATTAACCCTTTGCATTTTTGAAAGACGTGCCTGTTATATCAGTATTGTTGTCCGTGCACCTGTTCCCTCAGGAGGGAGGCGAATATAGACGTTTGCATCTGTTAATTTCTCATTAGCTTGTGGGCGCACATTTCAAACGGAAAATGTCTTTCGGTAATATTGCCTCAAGGTGTTGGGCCCAGCGTAAGCAGTTGGTCGTATATTACTCCAATTGCAGATGAGACAAATGTACCGCGTTTGCCCCGTGTATGAATATTAATGATGGTATCACAACCTGGCAGTGTACAGTTTGCATTTGACCTTCTAAGTACACTTTTTTTTTTACATTTACAAACCAAATTCTTAGAAATTTGAATTATTGCTCTGGAATGAGGTCTGTTATTTTCTGCTTTGATTAAAGAGTAAAGATGCAACTTTCACATGCAATGTATGGAACTGATGTTGTAAGAAGAATTTCCCCTCGAATCTTATGCTAATAAGTTGAAACAATCACACAAATAATTAAAAAAAATTGTCACCAGTGCTCGTGTTCCAGTCCATGACAAAAGGCCTGTAAACCTCTTCAATCTGTCTACTACACATCTCCCTCAGTTTTTCTAGGACGCGATAACAGATTTATCGGAATTTGCGAATTGAGCAAAATGAGCAAAGCGGTGATTGAGAAACCATGACCTTATTTGCGGCCAATTGACATTCAGCCCGTGCCGGGGGCATTTGTCTCAATGGCAAGCTGTTCGCGCCGCGAGCCGCGCTGGTATTCATGGAGGCCGGATAGCTCCCACAAGCCTCTCAGGAAATTAGGTGAAATAAAAGGCATTTAGATCACAGGTGCAGCTTTGGGAGACGAGTTCTGTTGGCAGATCAGCAGACCGGGCTGGGAAAGCTGAAGGACAGGACACAAGCAGGCATCTGAGACCGGCACCGGTATCCGAGGCGGACGGGACGCCCCTAGCCCCAGCATCACCACCGCAGACAGATGGTCTCCCCCGGATGGACCCAGCTAAAGCCCCCACAAAGCCACCCCCCCACCCATTTAACACACACACACACGCCCTGTGAGAGGGTAAGGCCTGTTCCTGCTTCAAGACCATGAAAAGGGGTCTGGGAGCTGGGGCGCCTTTTTCCGTGTGAAAAAGGATGCATTAGTGCCTGACATTGAGCTCCGAAATCAATTCCATGTTTTTTGCTGGGGAGGGGGGCAGGGCATGGG